AATCTGTGCTTATGCCCCGGACATGTCAAAGCCAATTGGGGTGAGGGAAGTATTCTGGGATAACTTGAGAGATGTTCTTAATGAATGTAAAGAGAATGAAAGAATAATTATGCTTGGAGATTTTAATGGATGGGTTGGAGTGGCACGCGATGGGTACGATAGAGTATTAGGGCGATTTGGAGACGAACGAGTGAACGAGAATGGTGTATGTCTTCTGGATATATGTGTAGAAAAGGAACTTTTTGTGACCAACACAACATTTGGTCACAAGAAGATACATATGTATACATGGCAGAGGCATACAGAAAGAAGTACGATTGATTTTGTGATTGTTGATGAACGCCTGAGGACAAAACTGAAGGATACAAGGGTTTACCGTGGCACGAATGTCGGAAGCGACCACTTCCTAGTAATTACTAGAATAGCTGGACTGGCAATGAAGTGGAGACATCGGCCACGGGTAAGGTTGCTTGGAACCGAGAGAGTGAGAGTTGAACGGTTGAGAGAAGAGGCAGCTAGGGACCAGTACAGGAAACTATTAAATGAAAGGTTTAGGGAGCTAATGAAAGGTTACGAAAGGAATATAGAAGAATTTTGGAAGGAATTTAAGGATGGAGTGATCGCAGTAGCTACTCAAGTATGTGGGGTAAGCAAGAAAAATAACACTGGAAGCAAGAGGAATGAATGGTGGGATGATGAAGTAAAAGAGGTGATAGAGCAAAAGAAGAAAGCATGGCTCGACTTATTAGCCTCAAAGGCAAATAGAAGAGTGCTAGAAAGTATGATAGAAAAGTACATTAGTCTCAAAAAGAGAGCAAAAGCGGTAGTTAACAAGAAGAAAAATGAATGCAAGGAAAAGTTTGAAAGGAATTTTTCGCGGAACTTTCGAGCCAACGCTAAACTATTCTGGCATTTAGTTAGAAAGGCCAGAGGCAAAGTGGGGGACTCGAAAGTAAGTACGATAAGGGATATAAATGAGTGTCATTGAAGAAAGTAAGGATGTTTTAAAGCAGTGGAAGGAATACTTCGAGAATTTATTTGAAAGGAGTGATTTGAAAGAAGAGGAAGTAAACGATGAAAATGAAAGTGCTAATGTGGGAGAAATAAATATGGATGAAATTGTGAGTGCCATTAAGAGTTTGAAAGTAGGTAAAGCAGCGGGATGTGATAGGATAACTACTGAAATGCTAACAGAGGGTGGAGGTGTAATTGCAAGCCTGGTGTATCTAATTTTTAATAAGTATTGGCGGTGCGGTCGTGTCCCTGGAGTCTGGGCCAAGGCCGTAATTGTGCCACTGTATAAAGGAAAAGGATCACAGCAGGAGTGCAAAAATTATCGCGGTATAAGCCTCCTAAGCGTAGTAGGAAAGTTGTATGCCAAGGTATTGATCGAAAGAGTGATGGATGTAACTGAGCGTAAAATCTGGGATGTGCAAGCGGGATTTCGAAAGGGAATGGGATCAAGAAATGTACGGATCAAGTCTTTTCGTTACGGTTCATTTCAGAGAAAGTGTTATCAAAGCACCAAAAGGTATTTTGTGCCTTTATAGACCTAGAAAAGGCTTATGACAGAGTGGTGAGGGATGAATTGTGGTCAACTCTGTCCATGTATGGGGTGGATAGCCACCTGATTCGGGTACTTAAATCCTTATATAAGGACTCGAGTGCCGTTGTCTGAATAAATGGGGACTACACAGAGTGGTTTAAAATTAATCGAGTTGTTAGGCAAGGCTGTGTAGCATCTCTTTGGCTGTTCAACCTATTTATGGACAGCTGTTTGAACGACCTGAAAGTAGGAGAGTCTGGATTAAGGATGAATGACACAGTGATTAAAACATTGTTGTATGCCGACGACCAGGTGCTTGTTGCCTCGTCGGCCCAAGAATTACAACAAATGATCACTGCTATGAATGATGCATTTGAAAGGAAAGGTATGAAAGTAAATGTGAACAAGACGAAAGTGTTGGTGATAGAAAGAAATGAGGTGATAACAGAATGTCAGGTAATGATAGGTGATGAAAAATTGGAACAAGTGAATGAATTTGTGTATCTGGGATCACTATTTACGAGAGATGGAAAGTGTGACGGGGATATTGAAAGGAGAGTGAAAGCGGGAAATAGTGTTAATGGTGCTTTACACTCTGTCATGTCGAGTAAAATAATATCCAGCAAAGCTCGACTTGCTGTAATGCAGTGTGTATTGACACCAACGCTTATGTATGGTAGTGAATCATGGGTGTGGCAGAAGAAGCATGAAAGCAGGATTAATGCGGTGGAAATGAGAGCCCTAAGAAGTATGTGTGGACTAAAATTGAGTGATCGAGTGAAAAATAGTGTTATTAGAGAAAGGTGTGGATTGAAAGATGATGTAGTGACAAGGATTGAAAAGGGAATGTTACGCTGGTTTGGACATGTAGAAAGGATGGATGAAAGTAGAGTAACGAAGGAAGTATACAGAGCGGATATGAATGGGGCCGTCGGTAGAGGGCGCCCTAGACGGACATATAGTGACCAGATTGGCGATATATTAAAGAAGGGCCAAATTAAAAGTACCCTTAACCGACGAGCATGCATGAAAAGATTGATGACTGTTAATGAAGCGAAAGAGGTATGTAAGAATCGTAGTAATTGGCGTTCCTTAGTCTCTGCCTACCCCCATGGGAGACAGGCGTGAAGTTATGTATGTATGTATGTCTTAATACAACTTGTGACATCAATGTCTGACATCTTGCTATGAAATGCTCAAAGTCGAATCAATATGTTATATTACACGCAAATGCTCGTTAGTCAGGGAGGTATTATTGTAATGTAATGCTCTAAGTCGAACCTACAGGTATTTTTTTTAAGGTGGGAAAATCATCGAATGACTACTCCCGCCTGGGTGAGGCAGGAGGGAGTGTCAGACTCTTACTGACTAAAAATCAACCTGTTCCTTCTCCTGCACGTCGAGCCGGAGCCCCGGTTACCCGTTAAGTTCTCCGTGACAACCTACAGGTATAATGTTACATTACACCTGAACGCTCCCGGTGAGGGAGTACCTTTAAGAAAATGATACACCTACACTTTGACCTACCTTTCTAAGAACATTTATTTCATAGGAAGAAGAACCAATGTCCAAAATTGTTATTACGATAGTTACCGATATACCTAAATGAGTCGAAAAAGAAAATATTAAACTCTATGACTGTCATTAAGACCTCATTTTGCTAAAACCTCAATCTGTTATCCGCTAAGCGACAGATGAGGAAATTGAGAATGATATCAAAGTAATAGATGACTTGTGACTTATTACTCGCCTATCAAACTTGCCATTATGCTAATCTGTTAAAATCTCATCTCATATGATTAAATGCAGGTTACTCAGAAACTGCTGCACTGAATTACATGACCTTTTACTTTTTTTTTGTTAAAACTTTGCCCCACACTGGGACTTTCTCCTGTATCGTGGGTGCGATTACAAACATACAAGTTCACATACACATGACACCGAGACCCGGAAAAACAATCTGTGGATCACACAAAGAGATGTGCCGTACGGGGATCGAACCCGCGACACGTTGCGCGGCATCCAGTTGCCCGACTACCGCGCAAACCTTGCAGTCAACCTAGTATTAATGTAACTGCGCTCTATGTGTTTTACCGCTCGTGATATCAAATTAAAAAACATTTCGTAACTAAGAAAATAAAAAGTAAGTAACAAAATTATTTTTATTATAAAAGAAATAACATTAAACATGCAAATGACGCAGTTATTATTATTCTATATTATTATGGTTACACTATGAAACGAGATTAAAGTGCTAAAAGCTATCCTATTATGAAAATGCAGAACCCATTTTGTTATTACTTCGCTAAGTATTTCCATTTGTAGCAATGCTTTCGCTCCATTAACTGTCTACATAGTTTGTGCTTTGCATTAAATTGCTAATCTCAAATTAAGAAGATTATAAAAATAGATTGTTCTCTTTACATAGTTGAAAACTTAACAAAAACAAACAAATTATTTTAAATTATAAAAAGAAGAGACAAAGTTCCATATTTAAATTGAAAAGAATAGACAATAAAAGTAATAATCCATGCATGCAGTCTATGGTACACGTAAAATAAAATAAAACCTCATTTCATTGAACTTAAAAAAATAGTTCTAATCGAACCTTATTATCTTCATTTTATTGAATGTACATTTTCCGTGTCCATTGCAATATACCCCGGGCGATCGCAACGGACTGTTTGACATATAGCCTGATTCATTACTGCTACTGAAAAACCTAGAAAGCAAATCATCCGGTAAACGTTTTTTTTACGAAATAGTAATTAAACGGCAAGATTGATTTGTTATGATCATTTGGCAAAGACATTGGTTTGTTTAGAAAAAGTTGATTTGATTTATTGATCGTGAAGGTTTTATATTAATCATAGCTAGAATATCAATTAACGCTTGTTCATTCGAAGTAAAAACCTTTTGTTTATTAAAAAACTGAGCAAGAACGAAATAAACAAAACGAAACAAATTACAATAATAACATGAAATAAAATAAAGTTTGTGGTCTACACAATTAAAAATTTCGAACGCAATTGAATTTTACTCAATCAGCAGTGCCACGATTGGATTCATTTTAAAGTAAATAAAAAGGTAAGAATACATTACTGTAAATAAAAACAAATGCTTTTTCGTGAATTAAAGCAATTTTCTTCTAAATAAGAATTATATTTGGACACGAAAATAATGTAACGTCTGGCACAAAACCACAATTTAGCATAAACCGCATGTCATGTTCCATGCCATTTCATCCCCATATCTCGAGTCTTGACATAAAGTAATATAGTATTCGTGTCATACACAACGCGCTGTCACACAATGTAACACAGGCCTAAAGAAAATAGGCTGAATAATTCGTTTTCCAATGCCGTCAGCCGGTAATAAAAAATAAATGTATATTTCTTTATGGAAATTCGCACTGGCATACGCGAGCGAGTTTTTGGATGCGTTCAGAATACCATTAAAGACTCTTTAAAAAGTTGGAGTACCCAGCGGACTCTGGAGTCGGTGGAGTGAAGACTGTTGAAGATATCTTGTTTGAAGTGTTTGAACGCTGGAAGTAAAATGAAAGTGTATTTTAACCAAGTAACTAGACCTAGCATACCTAGTTGATCTAGGGTAATTTGATGATCTGTTTTAACACATTTTACCATTATGGAAACAGGGGAATCCAAAATTCAAAACTTAGATTTGTGCCAGACGATAAATAACCTTCGATTATTTTTATAAAATACTATCTCTATTATACCTATGCAGCACCAATTACAGCTTATTAATTTACATATTATCTGTCGCTTTAAACTTTAGAGAGAGCAAGAATTGCCACCATCGCACCGTTTTGGGCGCACCAATAAAATGAAACAGGCGCTTTGTAGTTCCACGTACATCGTCCGTTTATGAACATGAAGCGCTGACGTACTGAATTAAAGAGTTGCAAACATTTATTGTTCGTCCCACTTGTCCAATATGCAAAGGTAAATGGAAAATTGGGTACAGAAATAACATTTGCAGCAATAACAAGATTAAAAGTTCATAAAAGACCCTAGTAGAACGAAACTACTTCAGTGATACTTATAACTAAGTAAGTAGCTAATATATAGCTTATTTAAGCTATTATATTGAACTCGTAAAGTAGCATTATTCCAGAAAGTTCTCGTAGCTTTTTGTCCCGATGGACGGTGGACGGTCATATACCTACGAAAGTTACTACTATGAAATTTGCGGAGAGTTACATATGTATAATGCAACAACTGGCGTGCATTCATGAGGTGAACAAAAACCAAGAATGGTAGGTAATATGATAAGATAAAATAAGTTCAGAACTCGTTATCTATTACTAAAAAAATGCACTGAAGGCAAACAAAATTGACCTATAATTCGTTGTATAACGAAATTAACACGAAGTAAAGTTCCCAAACATATTGTGGTGGCCCGGAGGTTAAGACGCCCGCCTGCTTCTCATGCATGAGGGTGCGGGTTCGAAACCTACCAACGGCAAGTACCAATGAGACTTTCCGAGTTATATGTACTTTCTAAGATTATTTAGACATCACTGACAAACGGTGAAGGAAAACATCGTGAGGAAACCTGGACTTATAATTTCTAATTATTAGTTTGAAATCGCCAACCCGCATTGAGCAAGCGTGGTGATTAATGCTCAAACCTTCTCCGTGTGAGAAGAGGCTTTGCTCAGCAGTGGGCATTTATAGGCTGTTGATGATGATGATGATGATGATGATGATGAT